TACCTACGCACACGCGTGTGCTACACAACATGCATGTAGCATTGAGCCCCTCTGTTGCATTCTGTTGCAGGGCCTCCCCCCAGCCGACGAACATCCACATCTCTGTTTAGACAACGGAAAAAAGGGGGGAAGTTTCCGACCACCCTTCAACCCTTCCGTTCCCCGAAGCCCTGGCCTGACGAAGCTGCAGCATCTCGTCACGAAGTCGCTCCAGATGAAGCTCTGCTCTGCGAGCCCGGTCCTTGTACATGGCGATGGCCTGTGACCCGCGAGAGAGACAGCTGCCAGCGGTTCTGGGAAGCTGGGTGGGATTATGGTTCGTGCGTGGGGATCCCTCCCTGTGAAAACTCAATTGCGCGCTCGATGCACAGCTATCTGATCCCTTGGTAGCTCAGACTTCCGGCACGGGCAATTTGTCATCTCGCCTCAAAATTTCGTACATTCGGCAGTTTGTTGACGAAAGGTGCCTGTCGCTTTACCTACAGCGCTCAGGACCCGCAGCGAACATCTGGACAAATCGCCATCGTCGTCACAAAATTTCTGGAACCAAGCGCATACCAACTGGCTCTAGGGGCGCAATACTTGCACGCTTGGCACGAGGCCGATAGAAGCCAGTCGACGGTTGCACTTGTCACGTCCGTGTTTGGTGCAGGCTGGTTCAGTTCGACAATATGCTCTCAAGATCAAACGCACCCGACACAGGCGTCTCCCGAAAGTCAGCTTCAAGGTAAGCTGAGAAACAGTCCACTCAAGCCACCGAAAGAGGCTGGTGATGAAGTGATGAACACCTGTACTTGAATTCGCGGCCAAACCCCTGGTTGCACTTGCTGTTATGTCACGCAAAGTGTCACCAGGAAGGGTTGGCGAAGCTGGGTAGTGTTACATCCCTGTGCCTTTTGGCAGGGAATCACATGCACTGCATATCACTCTGGAGGAGACGAGATCATGAGAACTTCTGAAAGGCACAAGGGTTACTTCTGTGTGTGCAACAATGCTGTGCAATGGTGGAGATGATCTGCAGCTGCGCGTCAGCACATCACTGGCCAGCCAAAGCTGTTGAAAAATTCTGGCCAGGGTACAACGACGAACCAGGGTACAGCGACGAACAGCCCATGTAATATTGGCTACGCAAGCACTCACTCGTGCTCTGTAAGATCGTGTGTGAATGCTGCTGCACGTAGCCTCTCCAGTGCCTCAATCATGTGCTGTCGGAAGGGATAGCCTATCTGCTCCTGCGATGCAAGCCCCAAAATTCCCGAAAAACGCATCCTGTCCAGCGTTTTGCTCAGCTTCTTCATGACTTTTTCCGGAATCTCTGCCAAAGCTTCATCGGCGTGATGTCCATGCAAGGCGAATTCGCGCTCAACAAGCTGCACCACTTCGGCGGCTTGGAGTTCAAATCCTTGCCTTGCTGCGATTGGCTTGAGGTACCGGAGCATGATTGCCAAAACCTGAGGCTTGCTAAGACAGTGAACCATCGCCCGCTGCTGCTTGTCCAACTTTATGGGCTTCTCCTGGTGTTCCATGTGGCAGTAACCACAGGCACTGCCATTCTCACAATGACCAGAAGCAAAATAGATGCAGGGACGATGGCAAAGCTCAGGATGGCCAACACTTCCCTTGCTGGGAAAGAGGAAGCAGACATCGCTAGAGGTGGATGCTGCGGGTTCTTGGGGCTCGGGAAATTCTCCGCCGGCCCTGGGGTCTCTTCCAGGGCGGAGGTCAGTCACGTTGGTGGTGAGGGAGGTGACATATGTCCTCAATGCCTCTTCCTCGCGGCGGGCATTTGTATCCCAACTCTGACGACCAAGGCAAGGAGGCGTGCTGGAAGAGCGAGGCTTTTGAACATTCGCTGCACCTTCCTGTGCATCAATGAAAGTGCGGCAGTACTGAAGCGTCAAGGCCATCTGTCCAAACCAAGGATCCCAATCGGCTCCTCAGCAAATGCTTCAGCCGAAAAACTGGTTTGCGGACGTTCCGACAGCGACGGACTCTGGCTTCGGCGAAACAGAAGCACTGACCACAAGCGCCTACAGTAAGATATCTGTTTTGGACCGGCCTGGGCTTGCTTTGCAATGCTTTGTCGAAGACCTCAGACATGGACATGATATGACATGCGTACTGCGTATTGGGATCATAATGCCAGGCCACTCTGCACTGTCGCAGAATGCCACTCGCGGTGTTGCACGGTGGCTTCCGCGGAGAGCTCCTCGAGACTTTGCTGGCTAGAAAAAGCACAGCGCCAATGCCCGAGAGCTCAGGGTCTCAGTTCAGGAATGGGCATTAAACAAGCACGGCACTCCGCATCCCTCAACCAGCGAGACTTGTTGAAGCTTTTGAATAAGTCATCTTTGGAAACTGGAACAGATCTAAACTAAACACACGTGACTTCCTGGCAGCACAAGACGGTCTCCCTGGGTATGGACACGGAACAGAATGGAAACGGTAGGGTATCCGGCGTGCACGCACAGAACATTGAAGACCTCAGTTCTCGTAGTCACTGATGGCCCACGCAGGGGGAACAAGTCAAAAAGATCTACGTTCAAACCTAGGTGCAAAGAAGCAGGCTTCAAACAGGCCGCTTGCAAATCGGCACATGCGCAGCAAAGCACCAATGGAAACGGCCAGTCTCCTTCATGCGCAGATCGTCCAAGTCGGCAACCAGCTGCTCCACTTCGGCCTGGCTGGGAGCACACGGACTTGACCTTAAGGGAGGCTCTAAAGGGAACGAAAGAGCCGGACTCGAGGAACTGATCTTAGCTTCCGGAGTTTCTCAGACGAAAGGAGCACCCGGCCTACTACGAGTTATCGACCTCGCCTGCACTTGCTTGCAGCATTCTGGGTCAATGCAGAAACACGTAGCTGGTGATGTCATTGTTGGAACCGTGCCATTCTACTGCTGCTCGCCTTGCATGTAGTTGGTGCAAGCGCCCAGTTCATTGCCCAGTGTACTGAAACTTGTCTTCACTGATCTTGTTCACAATATATCACAATATGTTAAAGCACGCTGTGCCGTGCCAGAACACTTGAAACTTTAGAAGCAGACCCGCCTCTTCCTGCTGTAGCCGTGCCTGCGAGAAGGCAAGCTCCTGTCGAAGAATCCTGAACGGAACGCAATCTTCAGTTGTGCAAAGTTGCGCAAGCAGGTGTCCGAAGTTCTGTCTGCATTACACCAGAGTCATGAGAGCCTTGTGTTCAGCATTTGCGCGCTGACTTCCTGTACCTGGGCACAAAGGCATGGCCAAGGAACAACAGCCAGGGCCAAAGCAGAACTGACGAGCCTCATTCGGAACCTCCACCACACGTGGTGGCTGCAGACTTGTGATGCGCCTAGAAACTTTAATGACTGCGTGTGAGCAATCCTTGAAGTTCACACGGCCTGGCAGGGCACGCAGTTCGGGTGCGGGTGGCAGCTCCACCTGATACCACAACGCAAAACAGACCTCTCTTAATTGGTCAGCAACCACCCGGCACAAAACCGACATATTTGGGGTCCAGTGCCATCTGCTTTCAGGCCATGCCTGCGGCCACTCTCTGCAAGAGCACCACTGCCATGCGCTGCCACTGCCGGGCCTCACGTGATGGAAAGCTGGCTGTCACACGTTTTCGCCTTTCCTTGAAATGTCCCTGGCCTCATCTTCCGCTTCCTCCACCTGCGAGAAGAGCAAGAAAGCGAGGTGTTTGATGTCAGGCTGCAATCGGGGTAGGCAACGCCGGGAGTCATCCGCCCGCTAACGAACTCACATCCCCAGCAGCGGTCAGGCTGCTCCCATACCATCTTAACTCTGCCAAACCATTTTAACTCTTCTCGCCGTCCTCCAGTAGCAGCCTGGTCTTCTCGTCTTGCAATGTGTTGATGGACTGGCTGGCCTCGCATCGCACCACGGAAAAAGACAACACCTACCTGTGATTGGCAAGTTGCCACATCCGAGATATCAATGCCGTGAGCTGTACAGAACGGAAGCGAGATTGCCAGGTTCGCTCAAGGCTACTGGAGCGCCGCGCCTGCAAGAGCTCGTCGCGACAGGCCTGGCTTGGTTGTCGGCACTATGACTTCGCAACACAGTTCCTGCCGACACACCGTCCAGGCAAAATGCCCGACCTCTGGTAGGCAAAACGCTTGGCTTAGCTCTTTGGACGAGAGATGCCGAGAGGCTAAATTTCACGCGATTAACACGGCTATGTATTAACTCCTGCGAGACGACACCTGTGCAGCAGATCTTCACGAAACTGCTGCTTGTTTCGTACCCTGTCACGTATGTAGAGAGAGACAGAGACAGAGTCAGAGACCGCGACAGCGACAACGAAAGAGAGAGAGGGAGAGAGAGATGTATGTACATATGTTGCATATACAACTCTATATATACATATATACATACAAGGTACACGATTTGCCCAGCAGCAATTGCATAGGGCGAGTTCTTGGGAGAACAGGTTTGCACTTATGTGCTCCTTCGACATCTGCAAAGAGAGGCCTGACGTCATGCAAGAAGGGAACCTGGCTATTTATAACTAGCTTGTCTCGGGTTATTTAGCTAGCTGTAGGTGTAGTTGCAATAGTTGTAATTGTCAACCCGCATTCCTCTGCCACACCCAACCAGAGCCACCTAGCTGCAAGACGCACCATATATAAGCCCTATAGACT